GGTTCCCCCTTTCGTTGACGAGTATTTGTAAGTTCTATCATACTCACAGTACGTCCCATACTATAAAAGCGATTGAGGAACTCTTGCTCTAGTTGATCCCAGCTATCGATAGATCCAGCCTCGAGGTCCGTATACCAGTCAAAAGCATTTCCTTTTAGCGAGCGGACAAACTGCTTGATAAGGTAATCTCCATAAGTCCCAGCATTGTTGCACGTCTCCACGAAGTGCGCAACATGTTGCTTTGGGTTACCTTTACCATCAAACTGTTGAAACTTCGGAGGTTGATAGCCAGCAGGCATCTTCAACATATCGACCCTTGCAGTGTACGGATTTGCATATGTAAGGGAGGATTTGGCAGCAACTTCATATTTGTTCTTAATGGTTCCTTCGATGAACTCCTTCAGTTGATCGATTGAAATCATCCCTTCAGATGAGACAGGGATAGCCTTAGTGGACGCTGCTTGTCTTGGAGGAGAGTCACTCTCTAGAACTTCTGGTATCTTGCCGGGTGCATGGGTGGATTCTTCTTCCATCAAGATTCCCACCCTGTATGTTAGCTTATCGATTCTAGCCTCTTGATTTTGCATGCATTTGGTCAAGCCAGCGATTGCTTCCGTCAAGTTTGCCAACTGCTCCTCCATGGATGAAGTATTTGTCACCATAGGTTGCATGATTGTCGTGGACGACGGAGAGTAGCATGGATTTTCACACAAATTGATCCTTAATCGGCTCACGCTATGTGGTGTAAGTGGGGAGGATCCATCACTTGAAGCATCATCATCTTCCCTCATAGCAGAGTGCTTGGATCCGGAGAGGTCAAGCAGAGCAAGAGTTTTCTTGATCTTTTCAGCAACATCGCTTCCTCCTACAGATGCGTTTGTGGAAGATCTTGCTCCTTTTGAGGATGAAGATCCGAAAACAGGGGTTGACGCGGACGGCACTTGGGGTGCTTGTTGTCCTAAAGAGCTTGCTTTGCTCCTCGTAACTGGTCCGAAGCTTCCAAAGGTAACATCGAGGATGCTTTCCACATCAGCATAGAACCTGGAGTTAGCAGCCTTGGTGGAAGTTGAACCGGAGTTGATTTTCTTTGAAGCCATTTCAATGTTCTTGGACTTAATTTGGTGATTGAAAAGTTGAGATGAGAGGAAGAGATTGTCCCACTGGGCGTGCCAGAATTTGTAGACAATAAAATCGCGTCGAGAAAATAAAATCAAGACCGAAAATATATCAACAATCGTAGTATTTTATTTTCGAATATTTTGAGTGTACAATCTCTATGAATCCTCTGATTCTTCTTTTCAACAGTAAATAAATTCAAGGGCTTTTGATCTTGATCTTGAATATGTACTTGTCGCCACGAACGATGATCTTGTTCTTGAGCTTTAGCTTGATTGCTTGAACTTGACCTTGATTTGTTCTTCGTTCTTGAGCTTGAACTTGATTTGTTCTTCGTTCTTGAGCTTGAACTTGATTGCTCGAAGCTTGAAACTTGTAGAGAAATTTGCGGCGTTTGATCCACGAGCTCTCTCTTGCTTCTTGTTATAACTTCTGGTGTCCTTTCTGAGTTATGAAGACCCCTATTTATAGTTGTGGAAGGGAGGAGTTGTGATAAGAACAAACTCTTTCCGACCAATCAAATTGAAGTGTGACATGGCCGCATTTGATTGGCCAGAACATGTCACTTGCACACGTGGCGCGATTTCATTGGCCTTTTAGTGTGACTTGGCATGCCTTGTCATTTTGACACGTGGCATGATCCCATTGGCTATTCCGTTTGACTTGGCGCGCCACGTCATTTGACACATGGCACCAAATTGGGCCTCTAGGAAGATGACATCTTGGGCCTAATGAATTGGGCTCATCACTTTAGCCCAATTAAATGGGCTAGCCCAATGAATTAAGACTTATTTATTTAATCCATATATATTGGACTTATATAATTAATTCAATTATATTAGCCTGTAGTATTTATTGGACCAATATATCTTGAGTTTAAAATATAGTCCAAATTCTTTTATGGATTTAAAATTTATATGCCTACAGACGTGTATATATAATATAAGAGTGCATCTTAGTCCTTATCAGGGTTAAAGCCCGACTACGGATCCAGTCGAACCTAGTAGCTTTTGCTCAAATAAAATAGTTATGTTAAAAATTCATTACATATGTATAAATATTAAATTTGAACCCAATTTTTAATGTTTGAAATTATTATTTTAGAATTACAAACCATAAAATTGAAATTCTGGCTCCATCTTTGCAGCCAATTATCATCTGTGTTAACTAAGTACATCTGCAATTTGATAACCTAATGCAGACAACTTTCTCTATACATGCAGCTCCAAGATCAGTTTCTAATTTCTGAACAAACAAATTAAATTTTTGTTCATTTGTAAGAGTGGATTCTCTCTTCTCTTCACAAAAGGTACGTACGTGGAGGCAAATTAAGAGAAGAATTATATAAAAACATCACAGCATGCAAAACAGACACCATATATGTCCAGCTGCTAAAACTTATACATATTTCTTCAGCCACGTACTTAACATGCAACCTCTTTAATCCACTATAAAATGGCTGCTTCAATAGAACACTATCACCATCGCATCTTCATTAAGAAAATATTAAAATCATCTGAGTTTTCAAAATGGCTAGAGTAATGATCCTTGGAGCCATTTCTTTAGCCATACTTTTCATGGCAATCACTGTTTCTAGCTCCCGTAGCATCACCATCACTGTTTCTGAAGAGGTTGAGAACCAGCAGTCCCGTCGCTGCCAGCAACAAATTCAACAGGTGTCTGTTAGTTTATACTATTACTTTTCTATTCTGTTTTATGTCACAATTTATTTTAAAAATGACCTTTTAGTAATATTTAATTTGACTTTAATGTTTTTCTTTTATTTTTAATAATATTATATTATAGCTATAAAAATACAATGACATGTTTAAATCATAAATTTTAATTTTTTTTATATATTTCTTAAAACTCTATTTTCAATCAAATGTCTTTTACTACATTATAGAAATGGAGGAATTAAAAATAAAATTATGTACATCTAGTGGGTTTGTTTTCCATGGGAAGGCAAAAAATTGCTTTTGAAACTTGAATCTACATATGGTAAGATATAAGTCCAAGAAACCACCAGCCAAATTCCTAAATCAATGCAGGACTCGAACTCACTTTAACACCCCTTGCACGTCCAGACGCTCAACTGGAGCGTGGACAATATAACACAGGTTTCAAATAAGACATGGTTGTTCCCAAACAGGAACAGACATGGCTCTGATACCAAATAAGATATGGCACATGAGCGTAACTCAATCCCAAAAACTTCCTCAGGAGGGAAGGATTGTCCAAGTCCATATAAAGAAACCAGCCCAATCCCCAACCAATTTAAGCAACATGTCTCTTCATGCAATAAGATAATTATTCAGAATAGCCGATGTTAGACTAGTATCTTTTTCAACTCTATAAATTCAGGCTTTTCTAAGAAATGGCCAATTAAGTGAAGATTTCAGGATTAGAGTAATTTTATCGTGCGTTCTTAAGGGACATCTCTGTTTTTACAAACAGTACACTGGCAATCTCTCTTATTCTCAAGCCTCGAATCGTCTTTCTTAATTACTTTCTCTTATTTTACGTACGACAGGCACAGCAGCTACGTTCTTGCCAGCAGTATCTGAGGCAGAGAAGCCAATCTTCTGAGGAAGAAGAGGCAGACCAAAGCCGCGGCGACATACAACGTTGCTGTCAGCAGCTGCAACAGATCCAAGATCCACAATGCCGTTGCGAGGGACTAAGGCAAGTGGTGCAACAGGAGCAACAGAGAGGAGAATTGCAGGGAAGAGAAAGGCAAGAAATGCTTCAGACAGCTCAGAATCTCCCTGGTTTATGCCGCGTTAGCCCTCAGCGATGTGAAATCCAAACCCGCAGCTGGTTTTAAGTAGAGGGTAATGTCTATGGCATATTGCAAATATGCAATAGCCTTAGCTTGCTTGTAATAAAGGAGCAAGTTTGTTGTAAACTTGTAGTAATAAAATAATCGCACCTTTTGGTGTGTGTTTTGCATGCATTACAGAGTGTGTGTCTGTGTTTTCCTTATCAATTACGTAGAATGTTTCTGGTTTTTTCTATGCTGACGTGATTTTACTTTTTTTAAGCAAAAATCTATCTTCCTGAAGGAAGATCATATTGTATTTGTTGCTCACTTCGGTTACAATCCCATGATAACTGATTCCGGGATTAGTTATACATATTATTTTTTCCCAACCAAATATGGGATAAATTTATCTCAAATTTAATCCCGGGATTAATTATTCCTTATCCCCGTACCAATTATATCCCTTATCCCTAAATCTTAAAGCTAACTTAAAATCAACATTTTTCCCATTAAATCCACTAAATTAAGTGGCACTAAAAACATAAAAGTACATATATCAATTTACAAGGGCGGAGCTAGCATATGATTTGTTGCGAACCCAGTAACTTAGGTTTGAATTTTGTATTTGTCTTAAAAGATTTATTGAATGCGTATAAATTATTAATTTAGAACCGGGTAACATAAACGAACTACAATCTCGAACTCACAAGCTTCAAATCCTGACTCCGCCTCTGTCATTTTGTCTAATTTACTTCTTATATTTTGCTTGTCCAAATAGTTACTCTGTGTGTGGGTTTGTGTTATATAACTCTTATTATCATCATTGCGATTAACCCAGGCGACAAATACTTAAATATCTCTAAGTGCATTTGACAGTAAATTGACCTATGAGGATTGCCTAAACAGTATAAATATTTTTACTCTAGTAGATGAAATATGAAGGGGAAAAAGGGTATCTTTATTTGATTTAAAAAGGAGTTAAGATTTGATCTAAAAAGATTATTTTCTTAATTTTAAAATTGTAAAGGGACATGATGCACGAATAGCACTAAGATCAGTAGATTTCTTCATTTCATTGCCATTCATAGAAATTTGTCATTTGCTTAAACAATATAATAACAAGGTAAAAAAATTTGCTGTCTTACATAAAGAATGGAGATCCACTGCAAATAGTAAACAGATTTGCAATATATTATAATATATCCACACAACAAAACCAGCAGTCACTATACATGTAAAAGTAACATATAAACAATATGTTTTAATTAGTCTAAGATGAATAAAGACAGAAATGATGAGAAATATCATAGCCGCAGAACAGAAGGGAAAATCTCTTAGTTATCACAGCTCCAACGTGATGTACGCAAGCAGCTCAAGTAACGGCACCAATTGCAATGCTCGTTTGCCTTTACACCTCTAAATAGCATCACTAATCCCACTGTGAATCTGTAGAATTTGGAACGAAAAAAGAAAAACAAAAAACAATTAGGTGGATGATCAGACAAGCATGCGGCGGATTTGGACACATCACTACTTCTGGCCTATGTTGCTCGGATCCTCTAAAAATGTTGTCGTATCCGCGTCTGATCCTCCAAGAATGAATAACTTCTGGATGGTTATACGCACACCCGGCGGTATTTTGGAGGATCCGAACGGCATAGCTTTTGACTCAGAATATATACATATGTATATGAGGTCCACACGTTGACGATGTAAAAAATTATTTAGACTATTAGGTGTCACTTAAACGGCATTACAAGTAACACTCTATAATAAGTTTTGAATGATAACATGGAATAAACAATGAATAACCTGTATAACCGCTTAAACTACAATAATAATGCAGACCCAAAAGGAACGAAATGGAGATAGAAGATTTATATAGATTGACCCCAACTAGTTGATGTAGAGTTGCAATGGAGTAGTGGGTGACATGTTCTAGCACTCAGTGACTTAGAATTCTAAATCCGTCTCTGTACGCGGACCACCATAGTTAGTATACTCAACATCTGATCCTGATCAATGAATAATATATTCTGAGCTAAAACCTTTTACCAACCTTTCTAACCTTTTTAAAGAGTGAAAGATTTAATAGGAAAACAGCTAGATTATTAGTTTAGATGGTACTATAAAGCAAATGCAGTATCGACCCTAGCAGTGATAGAGAGCTTACCCAACAATCAACAAAATCGAGGCAATCAGCAGGAGAACATATTGGTAAACTTTGAACTTGGACTTGAGGCGAGCTTCAGCTGGAAGATGTTGCCTTTCGATCCAACCAAACTGAGGTCGTAGTAGCAGAACAAAGCCAAGAAGAAAACCACTCATGAAACCTCCAATATGGGCATAGTTGTCAACGTGTGGAAGAAGACCAACAGCTAAGTTAATCGCGATAATGATAATCAGAGTGAAAAGAGCTGCAGCCTGTAGAAGTGAGGATGATTAGTAGAGGAATTAGGTATTTAGAATTTGTTATAAATGAATCAAACAACCTCCTCAACTGGAGTAAGAACACAAGAGGTGCTTAAAGAACCAATATGAATAGCTTGGTTTTGCAATCACGGCTACAAACTTATATGTTATGATTAGAAAAAGATCAAACTTCAAGTGGAAGAAGAAAGCAAATAAAAAAAATGGATAAGGCAGCTCTTGAGATCTCCCCATGCCCCCATGCCCCCAAAAAGAAAAAGATAAAAGAAAAGAACAACGGAATAGTAGAGTTATACCTTATTGGTATATATAGTCCAGTTAGTAAGCAGCTCTGATAACATAGCTCCAAGAAGTCCAAATAGAGCACCAGAAGCTCCAACAGAGATGCTGCGTTGAATGAAAAGGCAAGAAAGAACGCTCCCACCAATTCCGGACAAAAGGTAGATAATCCCTACACGGACTGCATGTAACAGTAGATAATGGTGAGATATAGACAAGAAGCGGTATAGTAGGATATTGGTTAAATTCTAAGATAAGAAAAAAGGACAGGATTTCTTCCTGAAAGAAGCAACAGAAAAATATTTGTAAAGAGCATGCAATTAGTAGAACATGTAACTTTAGAAAATGGCAACGGACCCCTAGATGTTAGATAACCGAGCACAATGTCAGGGGGAAATAACCAGACAGACGGACAAAAATCCGAGTTTGTGATAGATAACACTAATGAGTATAACCAATTTCTCCATCTCCATTGCCACAATTGTAGTAATCAAAATGATAATGAGAACCATACCAAATCCAAACTGCTGCTCAAGGCGAATCCCAATGAAAACCAGACTCAACATGTTGGCAAGCAAATGAACAACACCGGCATGTAACCAGATACAAGTGATAAGTCTCCAGCCTTCATGCTCGTTCACTACTTTATTCCATTCTAGAGCTCCCAGTTTCTGTAGTCTGCACAATTACAGTGAACAATCAGTATGTAACAGTTCCTTCATCTGACTTCCATTTTTTCCTTATTATTTTTTCAAACAAGAGTGACATCAGAACTTGCAACATCACATAGGAACATTCACTCCTTTAATTCCAGAAGATTTAACACTGAATGAAACAAGGAACAAAGATTTCAATAATAAATCGCAACCACCATAAAAGGTATCTTGTTATCTGTAATACACAGAAAAAGGTTATCCAATTAGTCTCTCAGTGAAGACAACATTCTTAACATGGAACTACGGCTGTCAAATTTGGCCCCAGCCCAAATGACCCGCCCAAGGTTGGGCTGGTCATTGACCCGCCTATTTATTGACCGTAGTCTATATTTACCCAACCCATCTCAATCCAAACTAATTTTAAGCCCAAATTTATCCATGAATAACTTTAGCAAATATCTTAGAAATAATTTTTTCTTGTTTGATATGTTATATATGACCATAATAAAAGAAAAAAAGTCTTATAAAGGCCTAAAAATGCCACTCAACTTTCAGAAATGGTCTATCCATGCCATCCGTTAAAAAAATGCTCATTTCATGCCACTGTCATTACACATTTGGCCCATCCATGCCATTATTGACTAACGGCTCAATTTTTATTTTTTTTTAATATTTATAACACCCACATTTCCACGTGTCCTGTTGTTATTGGTCCGAATTAACCCATGCCCCACTTAATTTTAACCTTGGTTAGGTCCACCTACCCAAACCCAACCCGGTTAAAACATACCCAAATCAATAACCCAACCCAAACTCTTCACCAAATCCCCTTCTCTCCGGTCGTCTTCCCCAAGATGTAAAAGGTGCTGGCAAAGAAGTAATTCGGAGAAGAAAGAAAAGAAGTTTCCGCCGCCATTATCGTCCTTAAACCAAGATGGAAAGCCAAATTTCTTTTCTTCATGCGTGCGGTGAGAAAAGATGGAAGGTTAGAGTTGACAGAGGTGAAAATTGGTCGGCCCGAAACTCTCCTTGCTTCTGGCCAAGATGGACGACTGAAATTACATCTCATTCGTGATGAAGAAGAAGAAACAGAAGAGGAAAACGAAGATTTTCCCCTGGACAATGCAAAAGAGATGATTGAAACAATTCAAGAAAATGATGAAGAAATACTTGAAGAAAAAGAAGAAAAAGAAGAAGAAGACAAGGTTGTAGAGTGGAAGTTTCCGGCGACAAGCGGTGGCAGTGGAGATGGTGTTCGGAGAAATTCCCATGTCTAATTTCTGGAACTGGAAAGGGGGGATTTGGAATGGGTTGGGTTGGGTTTGGTTGGGGTTGGGTTGATTAATGGGGTAATAAGTTAACCGGGGTTGGGTTTGGGTTAATCGACATAACCCAGGTTAAAATAATGTGGGGCATGGGTTAATTCGGACGAATGAGGACATTACACGTGGAAATTCTGGCGTTTAAAAAAATTTAAAAAAAAGAATTTTGTGCCGTTAGTTCATTAATGGCATAGGTGAGCCATATGTGTAACGGCAGTGGCATGGAATGAGCATTTTTTTAACGGATGGCATGGATAGACCATTTCTGAAAGTTGAGTGGCATTTTTAGGCCTTTTCTGTAGTAATTATACAATTCATAAGAAAACAGCACATATTAAGTAAAGCTTGATAAGAATTGGGCGAATTAGGCTATGACCCAAATTATAGCCCATCTTGACCCAACCATCTTAGCCCATGTAACTTTTGGGTAGGTCATTTGACCCGCCCAATTATTGATTCAACCCGTTTTGACCCGCCCAAAATCGGCCCAACCCACCCATTAGACACCCCTATTTTTATCCATCTAACAATTGGTTTGCTGTCCAATATGCACTCCCCTCCTAGGGAAATGAACAACAAGGAAGAGGGAGAGGGAGAGAGAAAAAATGATTCACAGTTTAGTAGCAAATGAACAAACTTTGGAATCTTCCGATTTAGTCTGATGGTAGGAAGAACTATCCCTTGCTCAAATTAACCTCAAATTTTGAAGTGGTGATTCTAAATCTGGAAAAACGGAAAACAGCCTCCCGAATCTATTTACCAACCTGAGAGTTCACTAATATATATCACAATTAACCTTTATTTTCCTCTTTCTTTATAACAAATTTATGTTGATGTCTCATTTATGTACAAAAAGTTACAGAAAACACAGCACTTAGTCCACATTTGTGTGGTACTATCATAGTCATTGCCATCAACGGAATTGAGCTTTTGACAATGTCCATTACCTCCCGCAAATAGATCTTCATGTAAGGTTGGTTTCATTAAGTCGAAAAAGTCCAACAAATACAGTAATAATAGAGATACTGTGTTTTCCGTGACCAAAACAAACTTCAAGAGGTACAGCTAATATATGCAGCTTTGACATAATACAACAGGCAAGAGCATTAAGGGGGTTACAGCCAATCATAACATCGTAGATCCAGCAACAAGGTCATTTCACATTACGACGAAACAATCTTAGAATAATGCTAGAAGGCTACTAATAGAGTCAGCTGGGAGCTATAGGTAGCAAATTTCGGATGTCAAAAAGCATACTTCAGGAGAGTTTTAGACATCAGCAGAATTAATAGACCTAAACTGGCAATTGCTGTCTCAAATTTTCTTGGCCTCTTAACACACAATAGAAGAAAAGGCTCATAAACTCACAGGAAAAAATTGTTAGTTAGATAAAAAAATACACTACAAAGAAACCGAATCCCGAATCAGGCACAAATTAACCAAGAAAGTTAATGCTTTTACAGCCAAAAGTTTCCTTTTTGGAATTAATGCAATCTACTTAAAAACTGGAAGAAAAAAAAAAGCCAAAAACTTTTTCTAAAAGCCTGAACAATTTTACCCAAATAAATATATTTAAAGCAAACCCCTTTAACTACAGTCTTTCAAGAACCAAAGTTTAACAGAAATCAAGAATGCTAATACTACATCAAATTGGGAAGAACCTTCAAACTAGTCTAAGGGCAGTCCGGTGCACTAAACTCCCGTTATGTGCGCGATCCGGGAAAGGGCCGGACCACAAAGGTCTATCGTACGCAACCCTACTCTTGCAAAAAATGCAAGAGGCTCTTTCTACGGCTCGAACCGGGTCACAGGACACCAACTTTACAGGTTACCCAAGGCTCCCCTTCGAACCTTCAAACTAGTCTATAAATCAAAATTTTACACAACAAAATTAGCTCAATTAAAAATAGGGGGAAAGAGAAAAGGAAAATTACGTGGTAGAAGAGGGTCCAAAAAGAGGATTTTCCTGAAGGGGTTGAAAAGAAAGCCTCTCAAGGAATCTTGCAACACATTTTCTGCCTCTGCTGTTAAAACTGTCACTAATATTACTTGGACAATTGTTAACAAACATGATTAAAATAAACATGGCTACATTTGCAACCACAATCATTGGAACCAACCAAGATGTCCACTGTGATTCAGAATTCTCCATATAATAAGCTGATGTTGGTGGAGGATATAATGTCCCATTTCTTGATTTTGTTCCTCCTCCCCTCTCTAGATCTCTGTTACTCATCATTCTTGATTTCTTTCTTTGTTTTCCTCACTGTGTTGAACCAAAACTGAACAGATTCAAGAATTTATTGGATGTGTATATGTAATTGGTGTGTGTGTGTAAGGGAAGAAGTAGCTTGGAAGCAGAGATGAAGAAGCCTTAAAAACTGAATTTCAAGAATTGGGGAAGAATATAAGTAAAAAAAGGGAGGATTTTTAACTGCTGAGAAGTATCTTTCAGACAGGAAGACGCGGTGAGCACATTTTTTTTTAGTATTTGTTTGCTTTGCTTCTCTGTGTTATTTAAGTTTGGTAGGACATAGGAAATGTGGATATACCCCAAAAAGGTTAATACATTTATGTTATATATTCCACTTCTTTTTCCTTTATAGATGACCACCAAATACGTTACGATATGAATTTATTCATCCTTAATAAGAAGTTTTTAATTATTTTTTTAGAAGTCCTGGATTCAAGTCATGAGAATTAAGAAACTCTTTAAGGACGCTTCTCTTAGATGAGTTATAGCCAGGAGCGTCAAACGGGTGGGTCGGGTCAAATATGGTTCGGTTTGAAAAAGGGTTAATCGGCGGATAAACCATATTATCCATGACTTGTTGCATATAATTACTTTTGGGAGAATTTCTAGTGTCCCTAACTTGAGGAACCCCCAATTTGAGGCTTTACAAATATAAAAGTTAGACCCATTGGTTATCCATTTTCTATATGGATAATATGTTTCTTATCCATATTTGATCTGTTTTTAAATAGTTCATTATCAAATCCATTTTTTAGTAGATAATATGGGTGATTAACTGTTTTCTTTTAACCATTTTGCCACCGCTAGTCATAGCTACTCGAATTTGAATTAATTGGGTCATTTCAGATACCATATTGATTAAAAGTAGTAATCTAAATAGTCGTCCGTTCAATAGGTGACTGATGTATATAAAATTCATGTGTAATATATGTATAATCGTATAGAATTTATGTATATTGGCTAGAAAATAAACAATCAATTGGACGGCTATTTGTGTAAAATCCTAAAACAAATAAAAGAGGTAGTTTTAAGTGTGAATGCAGATACTTATTTGTTTTTATTTATTTATGAAACATTTAGGAAAAACATTTAATTTTTATAGTTTACCTTTTTAAAAGATTAAATTAGGTCACCATACAACATTTCGTCATCCAATATTTTGTTTCAAATTTTATGAATTGAATCCTCATAATCCCCTTTTTTGGTGAAATTTTACGAATTGAATAATGAAAAGATGGTTATAGAAGAAGATAAAAGAACGAATGAGTGATTAGAATAAAAACAAAGCGATTTTATAACAGACTGCTCTTTATTTGCTGAAAAAAACACGACATGATAATGAATCTTATGATTCTATTGATATTGATATTATTTTTTTCGTTCACTACAAGTTATGGTAAATAACTAATTCTTGAGCATGTTTTAATAAATTGTACTTTTATTAGGCATCGTACGTCCTATTATTAATAATTTTATAAAATTGTCAAATCTAAGAGTTAGGACTCCCTTTACCATATCAAGCGAGACATTAAAAAAATCAAGTTAATTAAAAGATAAAAAAAGGTTATTAACTTAGAAATTTGACAAAGAAAGTTACTATTGTTTGCAGTACAAAATTCAATCTGCACTTGGTTTTCCAATTTTCACATTTCAAAAATAGTGTTATTCTGTAATTAATGGAAATCCCATTCTCTTATCTCTTCTTGACATTTTACTTTATGTCAAGACCCCAATCCCGGTCGTGATGGCGCCCAACACTAATGCTAGGCAAGCCCGACCAATTAAATTCTCTCAACCCAATTACGCAATCCGTTAACAAATAATACGATTAAAATAGCAAATATCAAGGTTCCTATCCGAATCTAAATAAAATAGTACGGAAAATAATAACGAATATCCAACCATTCCCCAATAGATCTGGAGTCACGAGTCTAGAGCCTCTAGATGTAACAGAGTAGTATATCCATAGTAATAAAGAAGTCTAGGATATGGAAAGATAAATGAAATAAAGGGGAGGAGTCGGGTCCTGCGGACGTCAGGCAGCTACCTCAACAACTCCTGAAAATAAACTTCACGAAAACAGCAAACAGCTCCACTAAGTCTCCGGAGCACCTGAATCTGCACACATGGTGCAGGGAGTAAAGTGAGTACTTCCAACTCAGTGAGTAATAAACATATATAATGACTGAAAGTAAGAAATTCCGAAATATTACAATATAAAGCTATAATCAGCGATTCAGCACGTTAAATGATGAAACAACAGCAGACAATGACAATTAAGACAAATAGGTATAAATGCATGAATGCAATGCAATGCACATGACCGCTGCGGCGCGCAACCCGATCCATTTGGGTACCCGCGCTCACTGTGGGGGTTCAGACTCCGGAGGGGCTCCTACAGCCCAATCGCAATATCATCGTAACATTCGCTGCGGCGTGCAGCTCGATCCACACTCAGTCCAGATATATATATGCATGCAAGCCACTCGGGCAAAGTCAAATTATTCATTTTTAGTTTCAATTATTAGGAATTATAGAGCTAAGTGTTTAAACCTTTATTTATTTACTAAACATTTCGAGGTAGTGTCTAACTCAGGGCTGATATCATGAAATATGCTAAGCATCATGGAAGCAGTGATAAGGATCCCTGAAGGATGCAAATGATAGGCACCAAGCCCCGAACATATTCATAAAATCCAAGTAGGATGATTACCAAACAATTTCTAGTCAAGAACACAGTACGAACATCAATCGGAACGGGCTAGGTCACAGTCCCCAGTCACAATATACCCCGCACTCGTCATAGAGTACGTGTCTCGCCTCAATATAGCGTCACAATGTGATATACCGGGGTTTCAAACCCTCAGGTCATCATCTACATCTATTACTCACCTCAAGCCGGCCACAAGTCTAGCTCGCTATGCCTTTGCCTTTCGAATTAACCTCTTCGCATGCCGTATCTGATTAAAACCACAATGAATACATTACAATAGGCTAAAGAAACATAACCCAATCGAAAAGACTCGAAAAATACCAAAATTCACTAAGTTGGCAAAACCCGAGCCCCGGGCCCACTTCTCGAAAAATTACAAAATTTACATCACTGGATTCCTCGTCTCGCCTCGAGTCTACACATACCAATTTTACCAAAATCGGAGTTCAAATGCCCTTTCAAAATCCGTTTTTACATCACAACTTTTCAAGCCCTAGCTTGACCCGTTTTTGATGAATTTTCAACAATTTACATGTAATTTCTACCATAAACTCGAATATTTAGACCAAGGAACTTACCTCCAATTGATTCTCAGTCAAAGCCCTCAAAAATTCTCGCTCAAAGCTCTCAAAACCGCTTAAAAATGGTGGAAACCAACTCTTGTTCGCGGATGAAATTTAATATTTTAAACCCTTCTGTAACAGTTATTTTTCGCTTCTGCGGTCCCGCTTCCGCTTATGCGGGATCGCTTTTGCGGTCAGAAGTCCACTTAAGCGGTTTTCATTAAAACCTCCCTTTTCGCTTATGCGACTCCAGATGCGCTTCTGCGGTTCTCTCAACAACCGCTTCTGCGGTAAAATATCCGCTTATGCGGACCCGCTGAAGCGACCATCCTTCCGCTTTTGCGGAAATTCCCTAACCCAGGCTTGACCGCTTCTTCAGTCGCTCTCCCGCTTCTGCGGAACTGCTTCTGCGGTCCTTTTCCGCAGAAGCGAAAATATCAGATGACAGCAGCAACAGACCTGCAACACTCCTCAAAACTCTCGTTCAACCACCCGAATTCACCCCGAGGCCCCCGGGACCTCAACCAAAATCACCAATACATCCTAAGACCTCATTCAAACTTGTTCTCATCCTCAAAACACATCAAACAATGCTAAAACCATCGAATCACATCGAATTCAAGCCTAAGTTTCTTAAAAACATCCGAATTACACATTCGATCAAAAACCCGACCAAAGCACCTCCGAATGACCTGAAATTTTGCACACATATCCAAAATCACCTAACAGAGCTACTGCAACTCTCGGATTCCATTCCGACCCTCGGATCAAAATCTCACCTATCCACTGGAATTCGCCAAAATGCCAACTTTGCCAATTCAAGACTAATTCTACTCCGGACCTCCAAAATCACTTCCGATCGCATTCCTAAGTCACAAATAACCTCCCGAAGCTAACCGAATCACCGGAATTCACATCCGATCCTTCTAACTAATAAGTCAATGTTCAGTTGACTTTTCCAAACCAAACCTTCCTTAAAGAGACTAAGTGTCTCATTTCCTATCCAAACCAATTCAATTCAACTCTAACTCACCCGTTGCAGATAATAAAACATGAAAGAGCAATAAATGGGGAAAACAGGGCTATAATACATGAGACGACGGGTTGGGTCGTCACATCCTCCCCAACTTAAACAAACGCTCGTCCTCGAGCGGGTCGAGAAGCATACCTGAGGTCTCAAATAGGTAAGGATATCTGCTCCGCATCTCCTGCTCCGTCTCCGGAGTAGCTTCCTCTACGGGCCGACCTCTCCACTGCACCTTTACCGAAGCTATATCCTTTGATCTCAATCTCCGAACCTGACGACCCAAAATAGCCACTGGCTCCACATCATAAGTCAAGTCATCATCCAACAGAACCGTGTTGAAGTCTAACACATGGGACGGGTCCCCAACATACTTCCGGAGCATAGAAACGTGAAATACCGGGTGAACTCCCGACAAGCTGGGTGGCAAAACAAGCATATAGGCCACCTCCCCAACTCTCCTAAGTATCTCAAAAGGACTGATGAACCGTGGACTCAACTTTCCTTTCTTTCCAAATCTCATAACGCCCTTCATAGGCGAAACCTTCAACAAGACCTTCTCGCCCACCATGTAGGATACGTCTCGAACCTTCCGATTCGCATAACTCTTCTGACGCGACTGAGCTGTACGAAGTCTCTCCTGGATCACTTTCACCTTCTCTATGGCATCCTGAACCAACTCTGTCCCCAATAGTCTAGCCTCGCCGGGCTCAAACCAACCAACCGGAGATCTACACCGTCTCCCATATAAGGCCTCATACGGTGCCATTTGAATGCTGGACTGATAGCTGTTGTTGTACGCAAACTCTGCAAGTGGCAAGAACTCAGCCCAAGAACCTCCAAAATCAATAACACAGGCACGCAACATGTCCTCCAATATTTGAATGGTACGCTCGGACTGCCCGTCCGTCTGGGGATGAAATGCTGTGCTCAGCTCTACC